TGTGCTCTTCCGACTGAATGGGTAAATAAAAAACATCCTAGCTCATAATTTTTCGCTATCTACAGACAATTCTCTTTTTTTATTACCTACCTAACACATTTTTCTTGTTTCTACTCTTTTTGTTAAATATTTATTAAAACATTATTTTAAACAATCACGAAGAAGTCACGACGCGGCGCGACTTTTAACGCGACTCGAGTTAAAAGTTAGAACGTGCGAAAAAGAAAGTAATTATGACTTTCACAAGATTCTCCCAACTACGGCATCTTCGCAAACACGACTGCCCAGACGCCCTCGAGCACCAATACAACGCAACCGCCAAGGACGGCCGCTAGGAGTTATGGCTCCAAACAACATTGACCAGCCCGGCGCACTGGACTTCGTAAAGCCAGGACACCTGATCCACCTTCTTTGCAAGGGCATGTATCCCTCAGACGGCAAGATTCGAGTATAGGTACATGCCTACTCTCAGACTCGCCGTCTTCGGGGCAACTTGCAGTATAGACGCAATTGAGGCACTACCGGTGGCGTGTGATAACCGGGCCTCCTACGCCTAGCAGATGAGCTCAGGGTAAGGTCGCCATAACATTGGCCTTACCCCTGCTCCAGCTGGGTGTTGGTTTAATGTATTAAGTCCAGGATAAGCCCAGACACAATGCCCGATTAGTCCAAACGTCCGCGTAAGTGATCGGATAACCGGAGGGAGAGCCTGACTCTGAAGGCGCAACGAAACTCGTGAAAGAATCGGAATGCCGAGAGAGTCGGAATTCCCGCGAGAGTCATAATTACACCTTTAATATATTATACAAATACAAATTTCTAAGTGTTCTACTTTAGTATTTTATCATGCAAAAATAAATTTTTATATTTCAATAAAATATTTTTTCACAGATCGAATTAGAACTTTAAATATTAAATTCTACTAAATTACTAAAAAGTAAATTCTACAAAATGCGCGCGCAGTACATCGACATAATTTGACATGATGAGCTCTGCTTTGCGAGCTCTGTGCGTGCGAACTGTGCGAGTATAATTTTCTCAAGCACAGTCGCACAATATATAGGTATAGATAGATATAGATAGGCAACACCAAGATTAAATATTTGCCCTAATCAAATTTAGTCCATCCATTTTAAGGCAACAGATCTACGATATTTAATTAGTAATTTGTAAAATGATTTAATTGTCGTTATTCGACATGTACTGAGACATTTTCTCTACATTTAACATAATTAATCGTAGATTCGTTACCTCATAAAAAATAAAAAATTTTCTGACTCACCGGTCCAACGCGCAACGGGCGGAGTTATTCTGCCACGTAGCTACGACGATACTGTAACAAACAAACATAAAATTCAAATGAAAGATATGCTTAAATTTCAAAAGATAATTCTTATGTCGTTTTATCTCAGTAAAGATAGTTAAAAAGAAAGAGACAACGATTTAAACATTTTAAAAAAGCTTATTCTTAGAAAATTTTATATTGGAAAATAGATTATATTATATAATCACGGAACTTTTAATTCATTTTTTT